TGTGTGTGTGTGTGTGTGTGTGTGTCATTGTGTGTGTGTGTGTGTGTATCTCTGTGTGTGTCATTGTGTGTGTGTGTGTCTGTGTCTGTGTGTGTGTCTCTGTGTGTGTGTGTCATTGTGTCTGTGTCTGTGTGTGTGTGTGTGTCTGTGTCTGTGTGTGTGTCATTGTGTGTGTGTGTCATTGTGTGTGTGTGTGTGTATTTGAAAGTGTGTGTGTGAACAGTGTGTGAATGTGAGAAAGTGTATGAGTGTGAACAGTATATGAGTGTGAACAGTGTATGAGTGTGAACAGTATGTGTGTGTGTCTTTGAGCAGTGTGCATGAGCATGAACAGTGTGTATCAGTAACACCTTGCCAGAGTTAACTAATAGATTTTTAAAATTGCATGAAAACTGTCTCTGAAATCCGTTAGATGGGAGCTGTTTATAATCCCAGCCAAGGAAATATCTTCATAATTGAACAAATTTTTTTCCCTTTTTTTAAAAAAAACACAAATGCGAGATTATGAATTGGAAGGAATGAGAATAAATGTCCAGCTGCAGCACCAAGGAGAGCTGTGAGATGGCGATAGAGAGCAGCAATTTGACTAGCTCCTCTGCACCACCTGTGGGCAGTTCTTGGTAATGCTGATCATCCATTGTTTACCATCCCCTCCACCAAACCTCAGAGAAGGTTCACCAGGATGGTCCTCGGTATGGAGGACTGTCTTATGTTCAACAATTAAACAGGTTGGGACTCTAATCATTAGAGTTTAGAAGAATGAGAGGCGATCTCTTTGGAATAAATAGGATTCTTAAAGGGTTTGACAGGGTAAATGCTGAGAGGGTGTGTCCCCTCATGGGAGAGACTAGAACCAGTGGGCATAGTCTCAGATTTAAGGGGCACCTATTTAAAGGTGAGATGAAGAGATGATACAAGTTTATAAAATAGTGAGAGGTATAGATAGAGTTAATCCTAGTTATCGTTTGCCTAGGATGGGGAATTTCAAGACGAGGGGGCACATTTTTAAGGTGCGAGGAAGGAGATTTATAAAATGTATGAGGTGCAAATGTTTTACACAGAGGGTGGTTTGTGTGTGAAATGAACTTCCTGGGTACAATTACAATGTTGAAAAGTCATTTGGCTAAGTACGTGAATAGGAAAGGTTTGGAGGGATATGGGCCAGGAGCAGGCAGGTGGGGCTAGTTTAGTTTGGGATTCAGTTTGGCATGGACTGGTTGGACCTAAAAGTCTGTTTCCATGCTGTATGACTCAGAGTTAGGTGTCTTTGGAACTCCTTGTCACTGAGATCTGCTGGGGCGCAGACTCCTTGTGTATATTTAAGGCTGAGATAGGTTCTTGATCAGTCGGGAATCAAGGGAAAGGGTGGGAAAGTGGACGTGAGGAATGTTGGATCAGCCATGATCTTATTGAATGGCCTGCTCCTGTTTCTACTTTTTTTGGTCTTTATATACTTTGTTTCAGTGATAAATATTGGTCAGGGCAAAGTGATGATCTCAATTTAGAGTCGTAGAGCTGTACAGCACGGAAACAGACCCTTTGGTCCAACTCGTTCATGCTGGCCAGATATCCTAAATTAATCTAGTCCCATTTGCCAGCATTTGGCCCATATCCCTCTAAACCCTTTCTATTCATATACCTATCCAGATGCCTTTTAAATGTTATAATTGTACCAGCCTCCACCACCTCCTCTGGCTGTTCATTCTCTGGCACCACCCTCTGTGTGAAAAAGTTTTTTTTAATTCATTCATGGGCTGAGGGCATCGCTGGCTAGGCAGCATTTATTTCCCATCCCTAATTGCCCAGAGGGCAGTTAAGAGTCAACCACATCGTTAAGAGTCTGGAGTCACATGTAGGCCGGACCAGGTAAGGAAGGCAGTTTCCTTCCCTAAAGGACATTAGTGAATCAGATGGGTTTTTCCGACAATTGGTAATGGATTCATGGTCATCATTAGATCAGATTATTATTGAATTCAAATTCCACCATCTGCCATGGCAGGATTCGAACCCAGGTCCCCAGAACATTACCTGGGTCTCTGGATTAATAGTCTAGCAATAATACTACTGGGCCATTGCCTACCCTAAGTTTCCCCCCTTAGATCCCTTTAAATCTTTCCTCTCTCACCTTAAACCTATGCCCTTTAGTTTTGGACTCCCCTACCCAGGGGAAAAGACCTTGGCTATTCACTCTATCCATGGCCCTCATTATTTTATAAACCTCCATAAAGTCACTCCTCAGACCTCCGACGCTCCAGGAAAAAAGCCCCTGTCTATCCCTATAGCTCAAGTCCTCCAACATCCTTGTAGATCTTTTCTGAACCCTTTCAAGTTTCACAACATCTTTCCTATAGCAGGGAAACCAGAATTGAACGCAGGATTCTCATGCAAAGGATAACGTTTCCAACAGTGCAGCAGTCCCTCAGTGAGTGAGCAAACCCCACCATGGCAAATGGCAGAATTTACATTCAATTCATAAGTTAATGAGTCTGGAATACAAAGCTAAACCAGAGGATGATGAAACTATTGTTGGTTGCTACAAAAGCCCTTTAAGGGAATGACATTGGCTGTTCTTACATGGTCTGGCCTACATGTGACTCCAGACCCACGTGGTTGACTCCTGACTACCCTCACTTAATTGTAGGGCAGTTAAGGATGGGCAACAAAAGCTGCCCTCACCAGTGACCCCGCCAGGTCCAGTGAAAAGACTGAAGTAAAACTAAAGAAAATTCTGTGACGGTCAGGGTTTGGGGACAGAGTGAGATCAAAAAGATCAGGATTCTCTGCTAACCCTTGCTGTCTGCCACAGAGTGCTGAGGTGCCAGGGCACCGGGGTGGGGTCCATGTCAGTCAAACCATCGACACCAGTGGCAGGCGTAGGCCGTTCAGCCCCTCGAACCTGCTGCACCATTCAATCTGACCACAG